GAGCAGCCCAAAGCAGAGGAGGAGACATTACTTAAGGTGCCTGTTTTTGTGAATGTTCCTTAATTCAGGGTGACATTAATCTTGAGGGAAGAATTTAAATAGCAGCAGGAGTAGTTCGGCGTTGAGATGGATTTTTAAAATAAAGATTTAAAAAAAGTTTTGCACAATTGCAAGATGACAAGAGGATGGGCCAAGATTGGCACATTGAGGACGGTAAGCAGACACCTCCTAAAAGAGTATATGGCGCTGGTTGGAAAAGACAGGTTTGTCTATTTTACTAGTTTTATTCGCTCTTGCACGAGATATTTGGGACTCTGCAGAAGTCTTCTTTTTTGGACTGTAAAGGAGTACTATAAACGACTTTAGCAAATTCATGAATTCTAAGGAAGGAAGAGGTAAAAAGGAGAAAAGTAATAGGAGATTCTGTTTCTTTCATTTAGCATCGTGACACAAAAAAAGACACTCCATATGTGCATGATTTAAGAGGAGGTTTCCACTTTAAATCTGTCCGTGTCCTCCCCAGCACAGCACCACGGAAAAGCAGGCTGCTTCTCTTGGCAGCACAGAGGGAGGCTGGCCTTGTACCCGGCTCAGAGCCCCGTTCCTCCCCCGGGGCGCCTGGCCCGCCCCACTCCGCCCACTGCCTTGCGCACCGGAGGGGGGCGGCCTGGCTCCCGGAGAACCTCTCCATCAGCTACGACTAATGTCTTCTTGCCTTTTAAGCAGGAAGCTGACAGGGACAGTTTGGAAACTGCCAGGACAGAAAATTCTCCTTTCGGACTATTTTCTTTTTCTCCTTAGGATGTCAGAGGAGAGTATTCCATAGCTTGTTTGATTATGTGGACCATAGATCTGACAGCCCATCAGAATCAATTACCCAAAGTGCATTACTCAAACTGTCCTGGCCGCGCTTCCCAACGAGGTGGACTTTGTGTGGCCAAGGAGGGGTTGGTACAGAGCTTTTTCCCCCCCATGTAGTAAAGCAGAGTGAGCACTCAGTGGGGTTGCTCTGAAAGTGTGTGGGCAGAGCAATGAATGGGGAGGGGAACAATAGGGAGCCAGGATCTTCCATTCATTCATTCATTCATTCAACAAATATTTATTGAGCACCTACTGTACACCAAACACTTCTCTAGCTGCTGAAGAGCAATAGTAATTCCAAAAATCAACAAAATCCCTGTGTCATGGAACTTGTTTTCCAGTGGGGGAGATAGGTGAGAAATATGATAAATATATACATTAGATAGCTTGTCATATAGTGATGGATGCTGAGGAGAAAACAAAGCAGGGAAGGAGGATTGATATGTGTAAATATGAGAATCCATGTTTGTGAATTGCTGCACACAAAAAATAGGGTGACCAAGGAAGGCCTTAAGAAGATGATTATATATATTGATTTCAGAGACAAAGGGGGAGGGAGAGAGAGAAAGAAACATCAGTGAGAGAGAGTCATTGATCAGCTGCCTCCTGCACACCGCCTGCTGGGGATCGAGCCCACAACCCAGGCATGTGCCCTGACCGGGAATGGAGCTGCGATCTCCTGGATCCTAGGTCGATGCTGAGCCACGCTGGCCGGGTGAAGATGATTTTTTGAGTAAGAACCTGAAGGAAGTGAGGAAAGGAGCCATAGGATTTCTGAGGCTGGAAGATTCTAAGTAGAAGGAATAAGAAGTGCAAAGGCCCTGGGGCAGGATTGTACTGGGCCAGTTGGAGGAACAGCGATGAGGCCAGTGTGACTAGAGAAAAATGAGCCAAAGGGTGAAAAGTAAGAGATGAGGTTGAAGGGGTTGCAACAAAAGTCAGATCACCTATGGTATAGATAAGGACTTTGGTTTTTACCCCGAGAGAGATGGTTGCTGCTGAAAGGCTTTGAATGGAGGAGGAGCCTGATCTACCATTTTAAGCGGGGCATGTTGAGAATCAACTGAAGGGGGAAAGGCCAGAAGTAGAGAAATAAGTTAGGAGACAAATACAATAATGCAGCTAAATTTATCAGGGTAATGAGTAGCACTTTACAGGGTGTTTAAGGTCTGTAACACATCCTTTACAAACTGGGTTTCAACTGCCAGAGCCAAAAATTGCCTAAGCACTTCTCTGTTTACCCAGAATCAGGCTGGCACAGAAAAGCAGGTGGAAAATCATTCCAAGCACAAGTGCATAAAGCAGTGAGTTACCCCACTTCTTGGCACAGGCCTCCTATAAAGAATTCTTATGTTTACTTTGCTGGACATTTGTGGTTCCTTCCTATAGCTGCTTAAAACCCCCACATAGTCTGCATTTCCTTTTTCACTTTCTTACTAAAACAGCAATTGACATTTATTTAGGAGCTTTGCCTGTTCTAACAATTAAAGTTTATAGGAAATTAAATGGCCCTCTCATTTTCTAGATTGGGTCCTGGAACAGAAAATAGGCATCAGTAAAATCACTGGTAAAATCTGAATAAAGTCTGTAATTTAGGCAATGGTATTTTTTCCAATGTTAATTACTTAGTTCCAATGTACTATGGTTAATGTGGCAAACAGGATGTTAACATTAGAAGAAGTGAGGTGAAGGGTATATGTGAACTTTCTGCACTATCTTTGTAACTTTTCTGTAAGTTTATTCCAAATTAAAACAATTATTTTTAAAAAGCTCTCTCAAAAGGAAAAGAAAACATAAGAGTGAAAACTTTGAGAGAAATATTTTGGAGATCAAATGGTCCACAGGTATATTCTGCATATTTAGTAATTTTTGTCCACAATGAAACAGTAGATGTTATCACCCAGTGTATAGTTAGAAAAGTCTTTCTTTTTCATCATTTTATTTAGATTAAGCTGCATTTTGAATACTTTACTTACTTCCTGAATTAAATGTGCATGCATTGCATTCTCTGTCAGGGATCTATTTTGCTTAGAAAATAGATATTTTTCAAAACGATTTGCCAGTGAAAACCCTTGCCACTGTTGATTTCCTTTCTTTCTGCTCACTCCAAGCTCTGTCGTCATCCTTTGCTCTTGCTTTGCAGCACACTTTCACTGAACAAATGCCACTGAGTGCAACTGGCCCTTGACTAGATCCCCACTTTCTTCTTTCCCTTAACCTAAGTATGACCTTTCTTTGTTTGCTGTCCTGAAACACCGAGGAAAGAAATTTGCCATCATGTTAAAATAAAAAACACGATCTTCTCAAAGTCTGATTGTTTAGACCAGGAATGACGAATGCAGATGTCCCTATGGGCCAGGCAAGCCTTGTAAAAGGTGCGAGGCAGTCAGGAGCAATGGATAAAAGCACTCTGGCATAGCCCACTTGGTCCTAAGATGAGTTTTATTTTGACTACTGGGAAGTTATGTCTTTTCTAGAACCTCAGTGGAAGCTTGAATCTGTTTCCAAGCAAGGTGCTTTGGAAATACTGGTTATAGTTTAGTCAGGTAACGTGGGGAAATGTGGCCAGTTGCAGTGTGAGGTAATAACCAGGTAGGAATAGAAATTTATGTTTCTATACCAGGTAGAAAAAAGATTGATGAGGGTTTAACCCAGCTGCCAATTGCACAACAATACTATGAGGTTTCAAGAGTATTTCCTAGTCACTAAGGAAGGACTGCATTCAAATTATCACAGGAAGATGACAGACGTAACTTGAACCATAAAGCTCTAGGAAGGAACTCATCTGCTCATTGGGTAACAAATTCCTGTGTCTCACAATGCATTAGACAAAGAAGGTTCTTCCTGGAGGGTACTTTAAATTTCCACTGTTGTAAATTAAGCCCACGATAAATAGCTACAACTAATACCAGCAGATTAATATTACTAATATTCCAGGGGAGCTCTAATGAAATGCTTACAATGCAGAGGGTTAGACTGAATTACTAACTGATTTAAGCAGCCCGCATCAAGACCACATGCACATACAAAACATATTAGGAGATGGAGTGTGTGGGGATGGCCTCCACTCCTTCACTTCTAGGGGATCTGACACAGATAAAGAATGACATCTTTTTGGACCCGCTCAGCAAAACAAGCAGTGCCATGTAACTTGCTGGATACATTTTCTACAGGAGCTGGGATAGCTCACCCAAGAGCACTGCCTCAGTACCCTGGCCTTTCCTGCTATGCCCTGAGCCACCTGTTTTCAGAGCTCTGCCAAGACACAGACACTAACCAGACAAAGGTGTGCCCTCCCTTACACCACCAAACATACCCAGGACGGTGCTGAAAAGGGTCCTCGCAACCCGCAACAGTCAACTCCTGGCTTTGGAAAGCATCCTGCCCAGCCTGCACTTCCCCCCATAACCTTCTGCAAAAGCAGATTAAGTTGCTAGGATAAATCCACCCTATCCAATTTCAGCTCTTGCTTTACACACTCTTTTCTATGGGGAAAAGGCCATAGTAACAGGATTGAATGGAACTGAACTGGCACAATAGTCCTTTTATGCCAAAAGATGGCTATTTAAAGCATTCAGAGGTGGAAAGGTTAGTGCTTATTTAAAGAACTGACGGGGCTCCTGCACATGTCATAGTCCTGGGTATAATGGAAATGCATTTCCTCACGGTTCTGCATAGTACACCCTGGGTGGCAAGCAGCCAAGGCCCTCTGTAACCTTGTCCTTGCATACACAGGCAGCAGGAAGGCTGGGCATGGGGGACAGTGAGGGATTTTATCATGGACATTAGGTCACCCTCTTTGACACAGTAGTGTGACAGGTGTTTTCATTCTCTCCAAGCTCTCCTGGGTCATTTCAGTAATCTCAAATAAAAATATTTTTTCAGGTATATTGAAAAATCCATTTGGGGAGTCAACAGTGGCCCAGCATTCTCGGCGAGGCTATCAAGGCTGAGGGCTGAATGCTCACCCCTAGCAATTTCTAAAAAGGTTGAACATTCGTGGAGCCGAGGTGACTTACGCTAATCTGATGTGGCTGCTGGCCAGAGGAGCGGAGGGTCTCCGCAGTGCCTCCCGCTCCCGAGGCTGGGAGAGGCGGACACACTAGAGCAAGGGCAGGGTTCACGCAGCAGCTCCTCACCTCTCCCCAGGCCGCGGGCGGGGGCTCCACGGGAGGGTAGTACTTAGGCACATCCCAGGCCACCGCAGCCATGAACCACTTGAAGTCCTTGCACTTGAGCTGTTTGCGCAACTCCTTCTGGGCGGAGATGTCCCCGGTGGAGAGGTGTCTGTACTCCGGGCGTCGTTGGTAAATGTACTCGGCAAATTCGTCCATCCAGGTCTCAGCCACCCGCTTCAGGTTCTGTGCAGCAGAAGAAGATTGTCATTTATTGGTCATACACTGAAAGGGTGATTTCAGTGGCACTAGAAATCGAAAAAAGAAAAAGGAAAGGAATCAAACAACCTCAGGGGGCTCCAGGTGGTGGCTTACTAACAATGAGTTCTCATAACTGCAAGCGAGGGGTGTGATATGATTACCCCAAGGCTTTGCACACACTCCCGCATCTGACATGAGGGCCAGTTGCCAATTAGATAATTAATCAGAGCCAGGAAAGAGTCACTTTACAATGATATCATCTTTCTCATCCCTCCTGTTACTTCATAATTATAAAAATTCTTTATTTTTCACATAGAACTAAGGGAGTTGAAACGGGAGGTAATGAAGCTCGTCTTAGGCATCAAGTTGCTTAAAGCATTTCAAGGAACAGTCAGGGATCTTGCTAAGAATGAGGGCAACAAGCTGATATTCTTTTCTCCCAGTTATAGCGACTGCAGCATCGCCAAAGTCAAGACCATGTGTCCTGATGATTCTTTATATGTGCGACCCGGGTGCCAAGCAGAATGTAGAGCTTGATTGCACAGTGAGGCTGGGTGAAGGGAAGCACCAAGTGCCCAGGCCTCTCTGCAGGTGTTTCCAGGGGGTGGAGGGAAGAGGAAGGTGGATGGTAGGGAGACAAGCACACTCCTTCAGGGTAGGAGTGTGTGTGGGCGCAGGGCAGGAAGCTCAGCCCTTTGTCAGCGTTGAGATTGAGCGAGCTATTTGATTCTAGGCCTCAGATGCCTCACCTGAGGAAAGTACATACAGTAATCTGGATCTACATCATGGGAGTGGTTGCAGGGTTAAATGCAGTAACACTGTAAAGTGCTTAGATTAGTATCTGGTACACAATAGGTATTATGAATATTAGAGCTATTATTACTAGAAAGAGTGCGGCACTGGAAATCAAAGAGCCTGGGTATTGGGCTTGGCCACAGCTGAACTAACTGCATTGTTCCTGTGGTCTGTGAGAAGGGCTTTAGCTAAGACGAGATGTTCTCTGATGTTCCTTCAGCTCTATGATGCTAAGTGGTAGAGAAAGCAACAGCATTGTCTTGAAGAGATCAGTTCTCATGCCCCCAGCTTATAGCACAGTCCCATAGGCTACGGTTCTCCTTGTTTTGTGTTCAAATTCCTTATTTTAGGTACCCAGCTGGTATGAACATTGACCTTTTCTAGTTTTTCATCTACATTGGAATTAAAAATGAACAGAATGGCCAGGAACTTTAAGAAGATCCCGACGTATGTCTAAAGTAAAAACTGGTGATATTTAGGAAAATGACTTTATCTTAAAAATTGCTACAAAATCCTAATTAAGGCCTGGAACTGTGTGCCCAGGGGTCTGCTGGATTTGGAGACACAGCCTCCAAATATTTGATTTCTAATGGGATTGTACACTTCCTTTGTTCTGCCCAACAACTCCACCCCCAGTGTCTTCCCCATCTGACCTCCTCACTCCCCGTGGGTTTCTTGGTTAGTTATGGTCAATTGTGGGCACGAAGTAGGGCTCGATTAATACGGCAAGATGCAGAAGAGAGGCAATGCAACAAACACTACTCTGATTTCTTGCTTGCCTCTGTGTTCCTTTCTTTCTAAAATTCCTTGCATCGAAAGTATAAAGCTTGTTCTCTGATGAATTCTTTGCCACTGTTGTGCTGCCTAACATCCCATCGGCACTGCCTTGCCCATAACACTTCCCACTCCGCTGCCTCCAAACAGGCCAGGTGAATGGCCAAATAATATCATTCTGAAGTCATTATTCTGGAAATAACAATACACTATGTTAACTTGCCACTGTCATCACGAATCAGCACTTCATTTCTGGGGAAACATTGGAACCACAGATGAGAAATATTACAAGCAGTCGCAAGAAGAGTTTCCTGGGTCTTTTCTCGATTATAGAATAAATGCATCCACTTCAGGAAGTAGGATAATCATATACACATTTGAGCTCACTGGGGTACATAGGAACACATGTACACTCATTCAAACACATGGAGGTAATGGGGTAGGAGCAAAGTTGTATTCCTCACTTAAACATTCACAGCTGTGTACACATTTACAGAACCATGAAACTGAGACCAAACTTGCCAGAGAAGGTAACAAAGAGAAAAAGAAGTCAACCTGAGTTTGCCCAGCTCTCCCTGAGACTGCATGAACACAGATGGAGGTGCTGAGATGTCCAAAAAATAGTTACCAAAAGGAAAGAACGAGTAAAGTATGGACCCTAGGCGGGGGGGTAGGTGCACGAAATCGCTCACTCCCAAAGAATCAGAAGTTGGGTCTATAAAAGTTATTTTATATATGTGGAGCCAGGGGTTAGCTGGGATTCCCATTTCATGAGATTTAAATAAAATTGCTTCAACCTCAAATCACACATTCTTGTCTTCTTCAAGATTTGTGTAGACTCCCAGGGGGTGTGCTCGCACATGCATCCTTCACTGTACTGTCCTGGCCTCTTGCCCTGGGCTCCCTGGCTACTCTGTCACGAAGAGCTGAGTCGGGTGGCAGGCGTTTTCCCTCTCCTCTGAAACATGTCTCGGGTAGATGAGCTGGCCATAGGCCCTGCCTGAAGATTTTAAGGCGGTGGGAGAGACCTGGATGGCCACAGCACAGCCGAAGGTGTAAGGTGGAATGTTCGACTTCTCTCAGATTCTTCGGCGCTGAAGGGACCAAAATTCTTTCACCCTGAAGCTGCTTTTTGAGATACTGATTTTAAGCTCTTGTATTAAAGTTTGATTTTTCTCCTGTTAATCTGTCTTTGTTAATTTGGTTATTAGCCCAGCCAGAAGAACTTAGAAGGTGGGAGAAAAAGTATTAATATTTTTTTAGCTCCTACATCCGTCTGTCTTTTGGCTTCGGGCCATGATGCTGTCCTCAAAATTCCCCTCTTCTCTCTCCTTGGTAGGACTGCACCAAAATAAGTCCTCGATAGTCCTCTTTAATTTTATTCTCCTACATGAAAGCTTTGCTTGGGAGAGCTGCTCTATTCATTGTCTCTGAAAAAGTGCAACCACTCCCTTTCTTTATCCATAGTTTCTCCTGCTTCAATGCCCTTCCCCTCCTGCGTGTCTAATTGCCACCGCTCTGAAACTCTTCTGAGTCCTCCCAGTTAGAGTTGCCAGATAAAATGTGGGGCACATAGTTAGACTTGAATTTCTGGTAAATAACAAGTTATTTTTAACTATAAGCATGATTAATACTGGTGTTAATATCACCTGTGTTAAATCAATTAAACAAGGAGGTCTTTAGACTGAGATGGCTAATGCCATGACGGCGTAGCTACGAAAACCAAAATCTAAGCCTATAAATGTCTCAAGGTTACAAAATCAAAACACTAATGACAACCAATCACAAACAGCCAACTAGATATAGCCAATCAAATAACTCTTCCCTTCCCTTCCCTTCCCTTCCCTTCCCTTCCCTTCCCTTCCCTTCCCTTCC